GTATGGGGTCCTGGCAAATGGAAAGCAAGGACTGTAGCCACTAGGCTACTGCACCAGGCCCTCAGGGATTTAATTTTAAAATCACACTGGGAATAGATACTTTTGTAATTATTTTCTTAATAATTACCCATTGATGCATATATTATCATTAGGACATGATGACTAATTTTGTGTTTTACTTATTCATTATAAAATTGTGCATAATGTAACATTTTACCAGTCTTTATATGACCCATAATAAATCAAAAGTATAAGTCTAGTAAACTTTTCTTAGCATTTTATTTCTTGAAAACCAAACAAAATTCATTCTGGTTTGAATATCAAATGAATTCTAGTTCCACCCATTCTTTCTTTTTTTTTTTTTTTTTTAAGTGTTGAAAGTGGTTCATTTTGGTTATCACTGCCAATGGAGACCATTAAAACCAGGACTGGGGCAGACATGGCTAGATAGAACAGCACCCACAAGCATGTGAGTGGGATGGATAGTGGGCCGGCGTGGGTTGAACCAGGATTCAATGCCCCTTGACATGTAAAAGAGCTGAATGTGATGTGGGACAGACTGGACTAGTCTGCTGGACATACTGACAAGCAACAGCAGAACCAGGGCAAGGGGCAGGCCTGGTGGGAATTATTGTGGGTAGCTCCTACTAGGTTGCAGCTCCCACTGGTTTGTGTGAAGCTGGGCAGAATCAGGCTGGACTGTGGCAACACCCATTGGTTCACAAGAAGATAGAGCTTAAAATAGAACTGACCCAGCAATTGCAACCACCAACATATGCTTAAACTGATTAGGGACAATGGACTGTGCTGGACCCTGTACTGACATGCACACACAAGAATCAGGTCTGGGATCACCTCAGGTGAAGTTTCTTTGGAGATCTCCCCAACTGAACTGCTGGACTCAGAACCCAACCATAAAGAGACTTGCAGGTTCCATGTTCTGACCATGGAATGCAAGTGTCAAAGCTGAGCTTGCTCAGAGGCTCAGATGGAGCAGTGGACAGCATACCCAGGTGCACATGGAGCATATGGCAGTCCACAGGAACCTGCAGAAGATACTTGGTACCACAACGGAGGAGAGAGGACTGAACAAATCAATTGACTACCCCAACCGTGTCTTGGCAGTGAAAATCTGGGCAAATGGAGATTCCAAAGTGAATTGTGTCAGCCAGTGGATTCTGGAGAGATTTCATAGTGTTTGGAAAGGTGAAATTGGTAGCAATAAAGAACTGTTGACATAACAAAACCACTTGAGCAGGGCCCTCAGAGCATGTGCCACATTGGGGACCTGGGATGGGTGGTAGGCTGGGTGGGGCTTCTCCCTTTACAGTTCCCCTTACCACAGATACAGAATAATAATAATAATAATATGAAAACAAAGGTCTTAGCCACTTTCCCGCAGCCCTTGACCCCTTTTGCCCTAATCAACTATGTCAGTTTTATTAAAAAAAACAAAAAAGAGAGAGAGGCCGGCTTTAGGATCCCCCACAAAAAAAGTGGTCTCTTTGTGTAATGCCTGGTAGCTATACATTCTCTACAGCATACATTTTCAGACTTGTTTTATATATTTTATACTTATATTTACATATTTAAATGCTTTATATTTTGTAAGTTTTTTGTATTTTGTATTATCCTAGGGAAATTATACACAGTAAATAATTTTTGAGAAAAGATACTGCATTAAGATAAAACTTACAGAAGAACAAAATTGGATCACAAGTTGGAAGAGAAATACAATGCCCAATTTCCTGCAATTGAAGAGCTGTTTGTGTACTTTCTTTTAATAGGTGATGGTCACTATGAAGCACTGTGTTATGAAACTTCCACTGGCTACATTTTAAAAGCAAATTTCACAGCTTAATATTTGTTCATATTACAACATGCTCAAATTTTGTATTATTTGCAGCTGCTTAGTTTATCAGGGAAAACTGCATATGTCATCTAAAAATGCTCACGAGAACATGCTTTTCAAAATAATAGGGGAGGGCAGTCATAGGTATTCAAAATCACTGTTCTAAAGTATCATAGAACATTCTGAGGCAAAATTAGTGGATTGACACTTTCTACTTATTTTTTTACTTTTTTCCCCCAAGATTGTGGTCAATGAGCAAAATCATTTTATTAGATATTTATGTGATGACCTATGCATTACTTTGTTCATTTAATAATCGTGTGACAGTATTCAAAGCTTTCTTTCTTGAAACTATAATTCTGAAGAAGTTCATTTTCTTTTCATTTCAATGGCCCACTCAGAGGAAGTGTTTAATCTCCTGTTTAGTAATGTGATTTATATACATGTTTTGACAGTGACATTATGGCATTTCAAGCAAAACATGAATTCATGCAATTACAGAGTTTTAATTTTACACCTTAGAAATATATTAGGAGTTCTCATTGTCTTTAATAATTAGTTTCATTAAGCCTATAAAGGAAACTAATTGAAATGATAGTAAATTGAAACTTACAGAACATGATACATAAATGTAACCATCTGGACTCAAACTGAGAGAGGCAAAATATAACTGTAACTGCTCTGTTCTGGTCTGAGCAGATGTTTCCAAAACCGCATGGAGGATATGAAACTCAAAAATAACCCAGTATTTCTAGGAGCAGCATTAGAATTATCAGCAACAAATTGCTGTTCACTGAACCTAAGCAAAATGTAGATGTGAAAACCTTATGACTTGGAAAAGGGTCAAACTCTTTGGAAGGGTGTTTTAAATGGGATAGATGTTCGTTCAATGTGTAAATACAGCTTTACCCACAATCATATTAGGATAATGTGCCCACATCCTGTGTGCAAGGCAGAAGAGCAGGCCAATATGTATATGCATGAGAGTTTATGTTTGTACACATGTTCATGACTACAAAACATAGGCAGGGTACACAAACTAAAAAGCTTTCTCTACATAGCTCCTTCTCTCTGTATTTCTGCTTTCCAATGAAAATACTTAAATCTTAAGAGAAAAAGACCATGATCTCAAATTATTTAAAAGGATTAATGAAAAGTTGTCAGTATAACAGGGGCACCTTGAAGATTTCAGCTAAGTCCCAAGTAAAGAGTTAAACTGGCTTAATATGAAATGGTGACTATTTACAAATCCTGGCACATTTTGTTGAGTATTTATTCTAGACAGTAAAAATGCAGTTACAAAGGAGAGAGAGAGAGAGAGAATCCCTCTCTCAATTTTCAAGCTGTGTGCTGAAGACTGAGTGTATCTTAGATGGCAAATCAGAATTCTCATTTTTAGGTTGGCACAGTGGCTTAATAGGCTAAATCCTCTGCCTATAGCACTGGCATCTCATATGGGCATGGATTCTAGTTCTAGCTGCTGCACTTCCAACCCACTACGCTGCTTAGAGAATGGGAAAGCAGTAGAGGATGACTCAACTCTTGAACCCATATGGAAGACCTGAAAGAGACTCCTGGCTCCTGACTTTGGAACAGCTCAGCCCAGGCTGTTGCGGACATTTGGAGAGTGTATCAGCAGATGGAAGACCTCTGCTTCTCTCCTCCTGTCTGAAAATTTGCCTTTCAAATAAAACCATAGACAAATCTTAAAAAAAAAAAGAATTCTAATTTTTAAATTAGTGACACATCTCTAGATAGAGAATAAATGTGGAATGTGTTTGAATTAAAAGAATTTTTGTCATATGAAGCCAACTGACCTTGTTCTCACAGATACTGGGTGATTTGACATAATATATCCATTTTCCATCCAACTCTTTTCACTTTTCTTCAAGAAGAGGTTTGAACGGGTGAGTAGGTTAAGACTAGAAGACAAACTTCACAGACTGAAAGAACAGCCCATAGAGAATGAATGAATGAGCCAGGCTTTAACAAAGGAATCACCTTCAACATTTTACAAAATAAGGATTTTGGGTGAAATGAGGGTTCATTTGATGCCCAAACGAGAATGTATTTTGCTTTGTTTTTTTTTTTCTTTTTTTATAATACTTTTATTTTGATAAAATTGACATAGTTGCCCAGGGCAAAAAGGGTCAAGGGCTGCGGGAAAGTGGCTAAGACCTTTGTTTCCATATTATTATTATTATTATTCTGTATCTGTGGTAAGGGGAACTGTAAAGGGAGAAGCCCCACCCAGCCTACCACCCATCCCAGGTCCCCAATGTGGCACATGCTCTGAGGGCCCTGCTCAAGTGGTTTGTTATGTCAACAGTTCTTTATTGCTGCCAATTTCACCTTTCCAAACACTATGAAATCTCTCCAGAATCCACTGGCTGACACAATTCACTTTGGAATCTCCATTTGCCCAGATTTTAACTGCCAAGATATAGTTGGGGTAGTCGATTGATCTGTTCAGTCCTCTCTCCTCCGTTGTGGTACCAAGTATCTTCTGCAGGTTCTTGTGGACTGCCATATGCTCCATGTACACCTGGGTATGCTGTCCACTGCTCCATCTGAGCCTCTGAGCAGGCTTAGCTTTGACACTTGCATTCCATGGTCAGAACATGGAACCTGCAAGTCTCTTTATGGTTGGGTTCTGAGTCCAGCAGTTCATTTGGGGAGATCCCCAAAGAAACTTCACCTGAGGTGATCCCAGACCTGATTCTTGTGTATGCATGTCAGTACAGGGTCCAGCACAGTCCATTGTCCCTAATCAGTTTAAGCATATGTTGGTGGTTGCAATTGCTGGGTCAGTTCTATTTCAAGCTCTATCTTCTTGTGAACCAATGGGTGTTGCCACAGTCCAGCCTGATTCTGCCCAGCTTTCACACAAACCAGTGGGAGCTGCAACCTAGTAGGAGCTACCCACAATAATTCCCACCAGGCCCGCCCCTTGCCCTGGTTCTACTGTTGCTTGTCAGTATGTCCAGCAGACTAGTCCAGTCTGTCCCACATCACATTCAGCTCTTTTACATGTCAAGGGGCATTGAATCCTAGTTCAACCCACACAAGCCCACTATCCATCCTACTCACATACTGGTTGGTGCTGTTCTATCTAGCCATGTCTGCCCCAGTCCTGGTTTTCTTGCTCTCCTGTGGGAGTCATAATCCAAGAGGGAAGTGCTCACTATTTCCGTACTGGGCCCACTTCTACTCCTGGACCATGCGCTGTCCAGGTGGTTCTGCCGTGTAACTTGACAGAATTACCTGCATTGCCAGCATCTGCCAGCTGATACTGTGGCAAAGCCAAACCAGTCCTTAGCCATCCTGATTTATGCTGGCACCATAGGGACAGTCAACCAAGCCTGGCTTTTCCCTGATCTAGTGCAGATGAGGGCCAACCTGTGTTGTAGCCCTGCCTGGTCTGGTCTGCTCCCATCCTAACCTATGCTCTCCAGTGGGAATGGTTTTCCAGCAGGAGGCCCTCCACATACTCCCTACCAACTTTACCCTCTCCTTCCCTAGCTTCTGTGTGTGCTGGTTTAGCACTGCAGCCCATTCTGGCATGGCCTCCCTCCCCCCAGCATTTGCCATTGGGTTCTGTAACCTGGTCCACCCCCAATTCCAGGTGACGCTGTTGAGGGTTACACTCTAGCCCAGCCCTGCATGCACCCAATCCCAGCTGTAATGTATACTGGTATGTGTTCCTACCAAACATGACCTGACTCACACTCTGTTCTGGTGCTTAGATTCTCCCGTGGGTGATGTGAACTGGTTCAGCCTGGTCTGCCTCTGACCTATGCGAAGTGTATACCGGTGGCTATCTTTCCCTGGTCTGGGCTGGGCTGCTCCCTATCATGTTTCTTGCACTCACCTGCAGGGACTGTGTCCTGCCAGAGGAATTTCCCAGGCTTCGCCATCAAAACCTATCCCAATGCCAGATCTCACACATACTGGTGAGTCCATGGGCCACCCCTACTTAGTCCACCTCCTGTCCTAGCAGGAACAGTGGCCTTTCCTGACTGGCCTTCAACCTGTTCCAGTTTTTACTGTTGAATGTTGCAGCCTAGCCACGGCTCGTCCATACCCTGACACAGCTCAAGCATGGCTCCGTAGGGGCAGAAACCTAGCATAGTCCATCCTACATCTACCCTGATCCCCCAGCTTGCCAGATTGTGCTGGAGTCCAGCCTGGCTTTGTGCATCCAGTCCCAGTCCACACGTGTGCCAAGGGAGACTGCAGCCACATCCAGATCAGAACGTAGCCGTTACCCCAGCCCCTGCACTCACCAACCCAGCCAAGGTGTCCTCTTAGCTCACCAATCAGGTCTGTTCCCAGCCATTTTGGCCTTGCATAAGCTGGTGAACATTGCAACCCAGCCCATCCCACACTCTGTTTTAGTATGCATATTTGGGTGCTGCTGCCTTGACCTGCCCAGGTTGTGGCCCAAGCAACAATGAAGAAGACAGAAGAGCATGAGAATGGAGGGAAAAGAAGAAGACGAAGGGACCATCCTCTGGGGAAATGCTTACTTGGTGGGATTTCAGACTCAGCGAACCACACTGCAGGGATGTCAGCAGGTCAACGCCAGAACTTCTTCAGAATGCAGGGAACGGGCATGGAGCCTTCAAGGTACAGTCCAGAAGACAATCCCAGTGTTTAAAGCCAGGACAGGGCTCCCAGTAGAGGGAAAAGGTCTGGGGTTGGGGCTACTCAGCATTCCAGGACTAGTCTTCAGAGGAAAAGTGTCCAGCATCCTTGTCCACAATGTCAAGATATTTACACAACTAGAAACAGTGCTTGGCCTGTCTCAGATCTGGGAGCAGTTCCAGAGCCACTTGACTTCTAGGAGGCTCCATTTGCTTCTAGCAGATTCTTCAAGCAACACTTGTTTCTCAGACTCATTCCTTAATCCAGCTGATCTCTGCCCTTAATTCTGGCAGATGACCTCTCAGCAGCAATCCATCAGTACCCAATAGGCTGACCTATCTGGATACTTATTATCTGCTCAGATTAAGTAGAATCCAGGTTGTTGTTTACTATCCTTGTGCTGTCCCTGTCCCTGTGTCCTCGGGCAGGATGGCTATTCTGACTGCACCAGGAAGCTAAGTACGCATATATGAAGAGGGGTTGCCTCCTTCTCCCAACAGCTAAACTATAGAAAATTAATAAGGAAATCTGAGCCTTCGTCTAACTTTAAATCTTGATTGTAGTTCATTTTCCACAACAAAGTACATATTGTTTTGCTTTTTTGTTTTAGCTTTATTGTTTTGGTTTTGCTACGTGCAAGTAAAAATAGGAAAGGCACCACTAGGAGGGACTCCCTAAATGACTTCCTTGACTTTCTTGTCTTCATAATTTTACCCAAGTGACCATGTTCCCAGGACTGAATCCCACAGGTGACCCAGCGCCGCTGCTGAATGGCAATACTTCAGGGAAGGAGATCCACTAAGACAGTGACGTTGTTTTCAGGCCTGGCTTTAGCATGAATGACCTTGTAGCTTTAGAAATGTCATTCAACCACCCTGTCCTCCCATTGTCTTATCTTTAAAAATGGAATACACATGGCACCTACCCAGTAGATTTTTTGTATAGCCCAAATGGATTGATGCACACACACAGAAACATTCCTGTTTCTGGTGAGTCCTCCTCACCTTTTACAACTGCCTGGTGAAGAACTAGAGAATGGTTGCTAGTGTTGTTCATTAAACTGCAGAGAGAGGGAAAGAGAGTGATCCAACATAGCAGAGTTAGGGCTCAGGGAGCTAGATAAGTCACAGGGTAGGAAATGGGCTACATGCGATATGACGCAAAGAAAAGTGGAGAGGGCGATTCACTTTCTCACAACAATGTCAATCCATTGCACTGCCCTCTTCCTTCCTCATACACTCCAATAATCCATTTAGGGATGTGCACTTCACACAACAGATTGACCACACAAAAAAAAGATCAACAATGCAACTCTTGTCTATGAAGGCAACAGTATCAACTCTCAATCACAACCTCTCTGTGTGCTTCCTTTATTCTCAAAAATTTAAACTAAAAAGGCTTTTCAGGACACCTCAAAAAAAGTAGATAGTGTAAGGCAGGAACGTAAGCAGAGGTTAACACATATCCTTCATCCCACTTCTGTCCTAATATTGTTACTATCACTAGTAATATTCTGTTTCAACACAGATTGTTTCCAGTGGTTAAATGGCATTTCCTTCTGGTGCAATGGCTTTTCATCCTTATTTCAAGTGCTCCTTGCAGTCTACTTTCTATTGCTGGGCTCTGATGTCTAAATTTCACCATAGTTTGACTAGCATCACTGACTCTTCTCCCTGTTATGATTGTAACAATTGACATGAAACCCTATTAAATAGCAGTTACATGACAATCTCCACATATGTTTAGCTCAGTTCCTTGAAGTTTAGAAATATAACTGGGCTTCAGATTGAAAGTATGAACCAGTGAGAATAGAGTCTCCTTATGGATCCTTGTTTAATTAAACTTGTCAGTTTCCTGGTAGGAAAATTATTTGCAACATAATTTAGCACTGTACCTGGAGTTTAATAATGTACCTGAAGCCTCGAAGGGAAGAAGGAAAGGAGGCAGTGGGGATGGCAGGCAGGAACAGCTTCCCTCTTAGCAGGTAGTATTCTCTCAACACAATGCAAATCTCTCCAACTTGATTCTTTGGTCTCCATGAAATCCTCCACGGTATATACACTATACGGCCATCTGAATAATAGCAAAATTAAACCTGACATAGCATTCCTCTCTGATTATTGAAATTAAAGAATGATTTTTACTGAATGATTTTTATTGGGATTAAAGAATGATTATAAAAAGCAGACACATCCTATAAAAATCAGAGGAAATAAAAGAATGCAAAGGGTTACTATTTTGCATCTGATATATAAAATATGGATGCTATAATTAATGCCAGATAAAACTTAAAAGACAAAGTAAAATATCCAGAAAAAAATCATTTTTGAAAATATAAGCCTGAATTCTTACGAAAATTTTCTAAAGAGACGAATAGTGATTTAGGAAAGTGTTTTCACATTTTCACAAACCAGAAATTGGTGTGATAGCTTTCTTTACATGACTAGAGAAAATTTACTCTCAATGATTTTATATTCCTATTCCTCCATGATAAATCATAAAATATTGTTCTTACAGCTTTAAATCAAGTCAAATTAAATTCAAAAGCTTTCAAATTAGATTTTATCCTATTAATTTTCAATATATACAAAAGTCCAAATAGGTCAAGTTCTAACGGTTATTAATCATTTAATATTAATTTCCATTATCTGTAGACAGACAAAATATGGGAATAGAGGCACATAGCAAAAGGCTAATTTATAAAAGAAACAGAATAGCCCTACATGCCAGCTATTGAGATTAAATGTCAGCACAGAATCTCTTAGTTCTTTCATCAATTGCTTAAAACTGAAGAGGTTAAGCCATTCCTTACAAAAGATAAGATTACCTTTATGATTTTCAGTAGCGCCCTGCTTCCAATCAACGTTGACTTAGAGTTAAGAAAACAATTAAATCAATGGCCTTTGTTTCCTTTTAAGCAGTATTGTACTACTGCATTTGCAGATCGAATGAGTAAACTAAAATAAACATGGAATCCACAGGATTTAGAAACAACTTAAGCCAAGTATTTCATTGTTTGGCTAAATATTTATGCTGCAGATCTGAGCACAGACTGGAGGATACAACTTTAAATAAATAACTGGTTATCTAAATCTTGGAAGTCTGGAATTACCCAGAAGCCGATCAGGCTGTCTGGAGCTCTGCTCTGGGGCCATAAACACTGGGATCCTGAAGGCCTGCCAAGGGAGATGCTTTGGATTGGACCATCAAAGATCAGCAAATACAGTTTGGTTGAGCAGACAGGCTCCTCTGAGCGGTGGCCGTCAACCTCAGTGAGCTAGTTGAGGTGCTCTCGGCTTTTAGAGCTTAACCTTTTTCAGATAGGATTCACCTTCTGATGTCACATGCATCCTTTAAACAGATTCCACTGATTGCGCTCTCTTCAAAAGAGTGCCTGAGCTTCTTGGCACATCCCCAACACTGCTGCTTCTAGCGGACAGCCAACAGCAAGGTCTGAGGGGGCTGGCAGACCTTTTCTCGGGAGGTTCTGCCCTCGGACACCTAATTTAGGATTTCAAAACACTTTGGGGGATCTGTGTTAGGATTAGACAATATCGAGCACAAAGTAGAACCACAACAAACATGCATTGAGCAAAAGCGTGATGATTAATTAAATACACTTTCAGCTAAGGGGAGAATCAAACTGTTGTGCTAGTGGCAATTTTTGTTTTATTATTTGTTATTCCCAAATATACTTTTCTTTCTGTGGAGTGCTAAGAAGCTCATGTTGGAAGTTAATAAAAAAATAAAGTTATTTTCTAATGTGCTCTAGTTTTCTTCTTGAAGTCAATTCTAGACTACTACTACTTGGGCATTTAAGTAAAATTTTAAAACATTAAAGAGCAAAAAAAAAACTGCCTTTCTATCAAAAAAGGAGCATTTTATGTAGTGCTAACTCTCCTGTTTAAAAAGGAACATTGCAATTTTCTAGTCCCCAATATCAACACAACTGAAGATTTCCCAGTGTACTTTTTTTATTATGCAGCACAGAGAGACATTTCCAACATGTATTATTCAATAGAACTGGTTCTCCAGGATCCAGCTCTATTGCTATTCAGCTGCCTGCATAGTAAGCATCATGTTACACATTGAGCCCTTTGTAGAGTATTACGTGAAAGCAAATAATATCTAGTTCATGCTTGTTGAGCACTTTATGTTTGGAAAGCATGGTTTTCTATATTACAGCATTCCATTGTCATCATAACCTTTTGAAACTCAAAGAGCAATTTACACAGGTTACCTCATAAGCAAAATGCAAAGCCTTGTGTTTTAGGTTGTTTTCCCCCAAACAATCACTTTCACACCTGTAAAATATGACAGAGTGAATAAAGACACTCATTGTATTCAGAGACAAGAAGGAAATTGGAGATAAGTTATCTAATTTCATATGCAGTGATTATCAGGAATTAATTAGTTAATGTTCTGCCCTAGGAGTGATCAGCAGTGAATGGTGAGGCAGCTGTTAAAATAACCACTGTAAAAAATTATTTATTTTATGATATAGTCCCATAGGCTCAAGGAGTTCCCCTCTCCCCATTTCTGTCCTCCTACTTATTACCCATATATTATTACAATAGTAAATTGTCATAAGTCCATTATTCTGCTATTTAAGTGTGTCATGACACTGTAGGTATAGGCAGTGGCAGAAAGTCCAACATTCTTTGAATGAAGTACATTTTGGTGAAAACAACTATTTCCTTATCAGTTGGCAGACCTTCAGAAAATGAAATGGGGAACTGCCTCAATAAGTTGTACACGCTACACTTTTAGGACAGAAGGGATACATAAACTTTTTGGTTTTTCTCTGAAGATATTTGTGGTCATGCCAGGAGCTCAGAGCTGTAACTCATTTCTATAAAACCCCACATGTTTTTCTTACAATTAGATGGGCCAAACCAGCATGTTCATTGTTTGTACAATACTTGTAATTGTTTACACAATACTTGTAATTTCTTCCAGTTATGAACAATGATGTGCTGCCAGCAGAGGAGAGGGGAAGTTCAAATACGGGAGAGGCTGCACCAACTGACTGCCAGGAATGTGAGAGATCCATACTACAACATATGGTACCCAAAAACTTCCATAAAAAAGCCTCTGTGCATGTACCTGTTGCTTAAATATTTTCTACTATCAGGTTCTTGACATCAAGATGAGAAGAGTTTACAACAGTAAATTACAACTAGTCTCTGCCTGATGCTTCTAGCTTCTGTTTTAACTGCAATACCCTCTCACTTCATGGATGCAAACATGGTTGATCTTGAACTTCGGACCAGAAGGTATTTCAGGCTACTCACAGCCACTCCTGCCTTGTCATTGCTCGTCAAAACCCCTGTGATAAAGTGGAGATATGTTCTAAAGCACAAACAAATGGGAAGAAAAGCTATAGCATCTACAAATACAACCCCTTTGTCATTAGGGACCAGCATCTGCTCCTTAAGCTGCTTTTGCCAGAGACCTGAGATTGCCACCAACCACCATGTTTATCAGCTCACAACAATGAAATATTCTTCTATTGGAAATACAAGGCCCAGTGCCAATAGAGAGAGTTCTAGAATCCAGCCATGGTTTCAACCAAACTCCCCAGGACTGCAAAGTCTTTTATGTCAGACAAGAATTTAGCTGGGTATTGTGATGTGGTGTGAGATGCCTGAGACATGTCCATGCTACGGGAGTGCTGGTTTGGGTCAAGAAGAATAATCTTCCTACCCAGCCCCCTGATTATGTTCCTGGAAAAACAGCAAAGCTAGCCAAGTATTTGACCCCTTCTAACCATGTAGAATACCCTCATGGAGTTACAGGCTCCTGATTTTGGTCTGGCCCAGACCTGGGCATTTTAACCATTTTGGAAGTGAACCAAATATGGAAAGATTCTCTCTCTCTCTCTCTCTCTCTCTCTCTCTCTCTCTCTCTCTCTCTCTCACACACACACAGACACACACACTTCTTTTCCTTCTCTTTCTGAAACTCTGCCTTGCAAATAAATAAATACATCTTTTGAACAATATTTCACTTCTCAAATGTACTTGCTCTTTAGGCATGCAGTGAGAAGATCTGATAATAGTCTCTGGAGTAGCTGTGCCACTCATATTGTGTTTATGAAGTCGTTGGTCTCCACAAGTTTAAATGAATGAACCCATCATTTCTCAAGGAAGGTTATCAGTCATTCTTTATATCCACTCCTCACAGCCTTAAATATACCATCACACCCATTCTCTCCTAGCCTGCTTGGCTGCCTTGTCTCTGATTTGCATTTCAGCCTCACATTGTTCATTGTTCTTGGCACATCCCTGAGTAAGTTTGACTTTGTGTTAAAAATCTGAATGGATTTGTGGTAGCTGTTATCAGCTGTCCTTTTTTCCATCACTGATCCAAAGTTTCTACTTCTCCTGTACACACATGTGTCTTTCTGTTAACCAACCTAGAAAGCTTGTCAAGTGGGCTATCAGTTTAACTATTTGAATTCTTATAACCATAGAAAGCTCAATATTTAAAAAAAACTAATATATTTTCAATAATAAGATACAACCTGTACTAAACTGGCTAAGATTAAAATTAATGCTGAGCAAAATTAATCAGATGTGAAAGACATAGTTGAAAAGACAAACATGAAAATGTGCTTACTGGGAATGTGTCATGCCAATTACAGCTTTAGCAAGTGTTTCCTCATTAGTCATTCCTCCTAGTCAACCTAAATAAAAGTATCAAAACAGTCATTGGAAAATGGCTGTGCATACTGATAACTTCCACAATACTATTGCCTGTGATCCACCGAAATGATTTTCTCCTGGGAAATCACAGATTACTTGTCAGTAAAGCATTTAAATATGTCCTTTGTACATGAAAAGACACAGCAGCAGGTGTGAAGGCACCACCAGAAGCAGCCACATTCATAGTAAAGATCCAGGATTCACGCACCTGTTCTTTTTCTCTTGCACGAGAGAGTCGTGGATTGAAGTCCATTCTCCTGACACTGATCTGTACCAGTCCCAACTTTAGGAAGAATCTGGGAAGTGAACGAGCAGATGGAAATTTTTTTCTGTCTTTCCTTTGCAACAAAAGAATATTTAAAATGCATATTATCAAAGGGTGTAGAAAATCTTACCTAAAATTGCTAAGCTTATGGTTCCTATCTTGCATTCCTATGGAAGAATGAGAAGAATACATCTTTGATACTGAACTTATTGGCACTATAGCCAACCATGGTTGGGGCAGTGCTAGTTTGTCTATACATTCTTACTATAGATAGAGCAGGATGAGAATAGTGTGTTTATTCCTGGGAAAGTCAGACAGAATCTGTTCAGAAAGACATCTTTTCTTAAAAAATAGAAGCTAGAATTTCCCTCTTCACTTAGACATTGTTTTAATTACTCTCTGCTCTACAACCTGGTACACTACATCCAAGTAACTGACATATTTGCAAAAATTGTATTTTTCTGTCTTGTGGGAGGTCTGACTGAGAAAGCAATGTGTTGCTATCTTTGAAAGGAAGCCTTAAATAAACTCTCAGAGCCAACAGTATAGCTAGCCCCACACCCCAGGAATACAGGGTATCTTTTCTGGGAAATAAAATTTCCTGACTACAGTCTTCTCTTACACCTGGAAGGCACGGGACTGCTCAGGAAGCAGGAATCAGAGACTGTCAGCACTGGTTGAGCTGCCTACATGGTGATCTAATTACTGTGTTTCTGTCCCTGAATTAGTGTCATCATTCCACCCCTGGTCCCCACATTCTTCCAAAGGCTTACTTAATGCTCGTCAGGTTACATTTCATAAAACTTAACATCCTCAAAACACCTGCTATTTCACTCTATTCCCAATCTCAAATATGCTTTTTTAACTAGAAGATAGGCGAAAACTTTGGCTCACGGTGTTAGAAAATACAGCCTTTAGGTACCAACTAGTTGATGTTCCTGCTGTTCCACTACCAAACCAGTTTTTTTCCTTAGGGCCTAGAAAATGCAGTGGAAGATGACTCAAGTGTTCAGGTCTCTACCACCCACAGAACAAATCCATAGATTCTGACCATGGAATTCAGCCTTGCCCAGCCAGCCATTGGAAGACCTCGCTCTCTACTCTCCCCCTATTTCTTCAAGTAAATAGATGAATAAAATCTTTTAAAAAGAAAGAAAATGTAACCTTTACATGTGCATATTTAAAACTAACTTTACGGTATTTGTAATGTTGGCAAACATGTGTGACCAAGGATATGCCAAGTAGATGGGTCTCATTTGAGAAAAAGAAAGGATAGAATTTGAGGAATTAAGACTAAAAACACATAATGAAATTCCAGAGAGAGGACTGTCCACCACGTTTTAGGAAACAGACTCTGTTCGGTATTCATTCAAGACCAATTCTGCATGTTTTCACTAGGATAAAGTCACGATGAAGAGTCTATGGGGAGCAATTGGTGAAACACACTGACTTTTTGTTTTAATATTTTTGATAATCTTTACATAGTTAATTGGGGTAAAAAGGTTCAAGGGCTATAGGAAAGTGGGTAAGACTATTACTTCCATATTGTTTCCTTCATGTTTAAAAGGGGAGTATTAATGGAGAAGGCCCACCCAATTTCCCACCCTCCCCAGGTCCCGCATGTAGGGTATGCTCCGAGGTAATTGCTCAAGTGGTTTTGATGTTTCACCAGTTATGAATTGCTGCCAATTTGCACTCCAAGCACTTCAAGCACTCAGAGCACATAGTCCATCATAGAGTCTCTGCTCTGTATTTCGCTGCCAACTTATAGCTGAGATGGTTGATTGGCCTGTTCTGTCTTCTCTCTTTTCTTGGTTAAGGTTCTGAGTCCAGCATTTTGATTGGGGAGATCTCCAAAGAAACTTTGTCTGAGATGTTCTCAAACCAAATTCTTCTATGTACTAGCAGATACAGGGCCCGGCTCACTCCATGACCCTGATCAGATGGTGGTTGCAATCGCTGGGTTGATTCTGCTTTCACTCCCGACTTCCACTGGAACCAATGGGTGTTGCAGTCCAACCTGGTGCTTCCCAGCACATTCTAGGCCTTGCATAAACAAGTGGGAGCTGCAGCCTAGTTTGAGCGACCCACAATAACCCCCACCAGGCCCGCCTCCTACCCTGGTTTGCCAGTATGTGTAGCAGTAGTCCAGTCTGTCCCACACCCCTTTCCACCCCAGCTCCTGTCCTGGTTTGCACGCCCTCCCTTAGAAGTAGTAACCCAAGAGGGATGAGTCCACTATTTCCCTCCCATGCCTCTCCTACTCCCGGATTATGCATTCTACAGGTAGTTCTGTGGTTTGACTTGACAGAACTAGGCCCCATTGCCAGCTTCTGCCAACTGATGCTGTGGCTAAGCCCAAGCAACTCTCACCCACTCTAATTTTGTTTACACCAGTAGGAATAATCAGCCCAGCCTGGCTTTTCCCTGATCTAGTCCACATGAGACGTGCAAGTGTTGTAGCCCTGCTTGCTCTGGCCTGCCCCCATCCCAGCTCATGCTCTCCAGTGGGAGTAGCTGTCCAGCAAAGGAACCACCCCTTATTCCCCTGCCGGCTCCGTCCCCCTTCCTGGTTCTCATGCAGGCTGGTTGGGTGCTGTGGTCACTCCTGGCACAGGCAGCCTCACCTTGGCATTCCGTACTGTGCACTAGTTTTTGTTGTACCTGAACCTGGCTCGACCCACACTGTTCTGGTGCTTGGATTTGCCAGTGAATGATGTGAACAGATTCAGCCTGGTCTGCCCCTGATCCATGCCAGATGTATGCCTGTGGGAAACTTCTCGTGGCTTACTCTGGGCTGATTCTCTTCATGCTTCTTGTGCTTACCCGCAGGGTCTGTGTCCTGCTGGAGAAGTTGCCCAGGCTCCTCCATCAGAACCTCTCCCAATGCCAGATTTTGTGCATACCAGTGGGTCCATGAGCCAGCCCTACTCACTTCACCTCCTGTGTTAGCAGGAACAGTGGCTTTTCCTGACCGGCCTTCAACCCAAACTGGTCCTTGCTGTTGGATGTTCCAGCCCAGCCATGGCCTGTCCATACCCACATATGGCTCACACATGGCTCAGTAGGGGTTGAGATCTTGCCTAGTCCATCCCATATCTACCCTGGTCTACCAGGACACCAGAGGTGTTGGAGTCTGGCCCGGCTCAGTGCATCCAATCCCAGTCCACATTTGTGCCAAGGGAGACTACAACCAGAAACACACTGACTTTAGATGAGCCTGTAGAACAGAGAGAGGAAGGACAGGGGTTAAAACAAAATGATGTCCACAAATAGCAGCAATTTGATGCAAGGAAGGATGCATTCAGTAAGAACTGAGCATGCTGGCGAAACAGAAAATTACTGGCATTCTTTCCCCACAAATCAGTGTATCAGCACATAAAGATATTCTACATTCAAAATAGTGATACCTGAATAAGCTTATTAATTATGCAGGGGTGTAATTAATCTAAATAGCTTTAATAATTATCTGTATCATCTTATCTTGAACAGGTCACTTAAACTCTTTGGTCCATCTAACTTCTGAATACGTTTATTAAAATTGATGAACTTTAAATTTCCTTCTAACATAATAATTCTAAGATTCCAAGGTATTCTGAGCAATAATAATAGAAATCAAAGTAATTATCCCTGATCTAATTATGGTGTAATTAGGAAGCAGATGATGTGAGCGTGATAATGGGCTGCTGCTGATTTTCCCACCTGCTGATTCTGGAGCCTGGGCTACGTGCTCTGAAAAATGGATTTCAAGTTTGAATTAGCACAGTGATTGCAAGACACTGTTTTTCTGACCCCCACTGTCTGCTAAGTGGCATTTAATTAATCACATAAGATGCTGACTCATCTATTGTCAAAGTCTTCATTCAGAAGAAAAATGTCCATTGAAGTGAGAGCAACTGAAATCCTCAATAAAGCCAGTAATCCGGGGTTTTCTTTTCCCTACTGGAACACACAGGAAATGAAAAATACATTTTGTTCTCTTCAATCATTTCTAGCTTTTCTTCTTCTGGTGGAAGACAGTATATATCCATATAGTTCACCTCTGTGTGTGTACATGCCTTGATTGGACACAACAAATTTGGAAAATTGGAGTATAATTGGGTTTTATCTACAAAACTGTAATCAACTATATTTAATACTTTGGAAAAGACATAACCTTTTTTTTTTGTAATTAAAAACCTGTCCTGTGGATTAGAATGCAATTTTACCAAAACTACTAGGCAACAACAGGAGACTAACAGAAGTGATCTCTTGAGGCAGACTACAGCAGTCCTCCTGATGAACCCCTACAGGACACCTGTTCAATTTTGTCAGAACAGCCATCGATTTGCTCATTAGAAAGAGTAGTTTGATGTGTTATTCCCACCACAGCTTTGCAGCCGAAGATTCCAGCTCTCTCCTGTGGGCTATCAGCAAGAGAGTCTTTTCTGATCTTAGTGGTTGCTAAGGAGCAAGAAATACCACTGGGCTCCCTGTGTGAAGAGCATGCCGATCACCAGCAGTGGGCTGGGTTGAATATTTCCAGCTCCGAATGTGAAGGCAGTGTTGACAGAGCAGTATTGTCACCTAGAGCAACATCATTCCAGGATCTCCTCCACAAAACCACCCTGGCAACAATCTTCTCTGTCCCACAAAAGATGCGCAGAAGGGCAAATCATCCTCCTGAAATATTAGTAAACGGCTGTTCCCATATTGAGTGCAGCAAAGTCCTAAACAGACCTGTGAAAGAAACCTAGTGAAAGAGGGAAAGATTCCCTGAGAAAAATTATGAACTTGCATTCCGTATCAGCGTGTCTGTGCTCTGTATCCGTCTCTGGCTCCTCCATCTGGATTCCTGCTAATACAAACCTGCAAGGGAGCAGCGGTGGGTTAAGCAGCTGAGTTTCGCTCTGACCCTTGGGGGGGAATCTGGATTGAATTCTTGCCTTCCAGCCTTGATCTTCAGATGGTATAGCCATTTGTGGATCCATTCTCTCCCTTTTGCTCTCAAATAAATATGAATAAATAGGTAAATAATTGTCTTACTTTTTTCAAATAATTCATTGAGAGGATTTCATGTATGATACTATTAAAAAAATAACTTTTTGTGGGGGCCTAGCATGGTGGCCTAGCAGCTAAAGTTCTCTCCTTGAATGTGCCAGCATCCCATATGGCCGCTTGTTCTAATCCCGGCAGCCCCACTTCCCATCCAGCTCCCTGCTTGTGGCCTGGGAAAGCAGTCAAGGATGGTCCAAAGCTTTGGGACCCTGCACCCTCGTGGGAGACCTGGAAGAATCTCCTGGCTCCTGGCTGCAGATTGGCGCAGCACTAGCTGTTGCATCAGACAGAAGATCTTTCCTCTCTGTCTCTCCTCCTCTCTGTATATCTGCCTTTCCAATAAAAATAAATAAATCTAAAAAGAAATGAACTATTTTGCATGCCACAAATGATACCCTTGCTCTTTGTTTTGTTTTGTTTGTTTTTGCTTTGTTTTATTTTGTTCCAAATCTGCAGTAATTGGTCAATCCTCCCTCCCTCCTCTATCCAAAATGATAAAGTTATCTTGGAGTATGCTTTTCTGGTATTTATGTTATAGGAATAACATGTTAAAAAAAAAAAAAACAAGGCCTGTCAACCCATAGGGACACTACTTTAGTTAAGAAAATGATAAACTTTCCTATTCTCAAGCTGTAAGAGAAAAAGAAGAAGAAGCAGCAGCAGCTAGTGGGTTAAGAAATGTCCAGAGCCTTCTTGCAATGTCCAGATCGATCATTCTTGCCTACCACTTGGGCACTAAAAAAAATCCATCCACGTGGCAGATCCTGTGTGGCTTGACTCCTTAAAATATAGCTAGTTCTCTTTCTCAGAATGCTAAAACCCTCTCTATCAATCATGGAAGTCACAATTCTCACTGTTCAACTCTTGTGTATTATGTTTATTGTGTACCTTGTCCAATGTTTGAATGGAAGTATAAGATTGAGTGTCCTCTTCTGGTTAAAATCCTCCTCTAATGTTAAATATTTACCTAACTCAGGGTTGTTGTCACTGAGGCATTTGGTAAACAGAGACAGATTCAAATTACTTCTAGTGAAAGAAAGGCATTGAGTAACTGTTCCTAACACCGAGAAAAACATTGCAGGATTTAAAAATCAACATGTTTACTTCTTAATTAGCACATAGTAACTGTACTGAGGAGGGAGCAGTGTGACATTTCAGTATGCTATAGTGAGATCAAGATAATTATCATATAAAATCCTTTCTATGAACCATTTTGAAGGACAAAATTAATTATTATCAGCCATGGATAACCTCCATCAGATGTCATCCTTCCTTCCAAAACGTACTTCCTACCCACTAACTATCCTTCTTCCAATCCTCCCACACGCACATCCTGCCCAGACCTATTTCCGCTTTGCTTGTCTGAGATCAAATCCAGCCCCATGTACAAATGTCAATGTCTCTGCCTGTGCCTTTCAGTGCCTGACTATATCAAGGTTATAACATGCACATCTTTTCTGGTACAAGGCAGAAATATTCATTTGGTTAATCACATGGACATGTGTGTCGATATAACGCAGTGTTGGCATTAATAAGCTGTAGTGAATGCATTTCCTGGTTTTATGGAATTTTTAGAATGATCCCAAACATAATACTCTGAGTAGAGGAATTGCCCAGACCTAGAAAGAGCAATAACCAACTCAAAGGATTGACAGGTCGAAGTGATTCAAATTTTTCTAATACTTGTTGTCCTTCAGGCTCGTCATTAGAAGTGATTTTAAATAATTAGAAGTAAATTCAGGTAGATTTGGTAACCTGGCTAGATGACTAGATGCCACCTTGATTAGGGTTATATCTGTGCGTATGCCTTTCTATGCTATGTGAAAAATGTTCCTTATATTTCTTCCTCAGCTTTTTATTTACCAATAAGGCAGTAAAGGATGGAGTTCAATGTGCAGGTACCTTATCCCTTTTTAGAATCTGACCTTGCCTGACAAAGATCGATCGCAGATGTACAATTCAGGTGTCCTGGACTTAGCCTTAACACTCAGCTGAACTCACTTCAAATCTCTTACCCTTTTTAATTTATCTCTTCTCTGAGCCACTCCACTTTGGATGATGGCTCCATTTTCTACCAACCTTCGCCTTACGGTTCTTTAAATATTTATTTTATTTTGTTTGAGAGGCAGAAAAATCCTCCACTAGGCAAAATGTTCACTCCCCCAGTGACTGCAACAGTCAGGGCTCTGCCAGACTGAAGCCAGGAGCCTGGAGCCTACCCCTGTATTGCTGCCTCGCAAAGCACACATTGGCAAGAATCAGAAATTGAAAGCAGAGCTATGATGAATCCAGGCAGTGCAACAGCATCTCTACCACTGA